TCACAAACCAGAGGAGGTCACCTGCAAAGTGCTCAGTGATCCCAACCAACCAACCAAGGGCCCTACACATGGAAATTAGGCAACTATCCCCAACAACTGAAGACCCCTCATATCATGTGACACCTCATCACACCTACCTGAACAGGAAGTTCAGACCGAACAACGTGAACATGACAGCGATGTATCCCACAATTCCAGTGGCGTAACTCATTTTATACAGGAGGAGAAACCATTTATATACGAGCCTGCGGAGACACAAGACATGGGAGGTCAATAAAGGAGGTCAGAGGGTACAGAATGCTATATCAGTGTCGGAGCTCTTGGGGCTGCACCCCGTCCCCGGCCTGTGCCAAGGACTTCCATCATCCCTGCCGGAAATGATCTGGCCTCCGTCCTCCCCTCCAGTCTTCTATGTGGCCTCCGTCCTCCCCTCCAATCTTCTATGTGGCCTCCGTCCTCCCCTCCAGTCTTCTATGTGGCCTCCGTCCTCCCCTCCAGTCTTCTATCTGACCTCCGTCCTCCCCTCCAGTCTTCTATCTGACCTCCGTCCTCCAGTCTTCTATCTGACCTCCGTCCTCCCCTCCAGTCTTCTATCTGACCTCCGTCCTTCCCTCCAGTCTTCTATCTGACCTCCGTCCTCCCCTCCAGTCTTCTATCTGACCTCCGTCCTTCCCTCCAGTCTTCTATCTGACCTCCGTCCTCCCCTTCAGTCTTCTATCTGACCTCCCTCCTTCCCTTCAGTCTTATAGCCCGGGCTACGGCACACTGGATTCACCAGCAACGTAATACACACCGTACTCTATATACCAGAGAGGTGACGGCACCATGTAATGACCCCTCTGACCCACGCCCCCCCCCCCTTACCTCGGAGTGGTCTGCACCAGCGGCTTGCGGGTGGCTCTGTAGGTGATAAAAGCGGTGACTAAGGAGAAGAGAATCCAGACTCCCAGGAACCGCAACCAGTGCAGCTTCACTGTGAAATAGACGGGAACAATCCACATCTGGAAGAGAGTCACCATCTGCGAAGGAAGCAGAGGACGGGATGAAACAAACGGATCCATACGGCCACAGGAGTCCCTCAGAGAGAAGTAACAGGTTCACTTTAATGGCAGCCCAACCAGCAACACTCTCACCTTCCCTTCACTCCGCCATCACTTCATTCAGCCACTGCAAGTGAACGGTGTGAGAGGAGTAAAGTCTGTCATCTATAGCAGGGAATCGCTGGTTTCAGCTCTTGAGAGGTGACAGGTTCTCTTTAAAATGCAAGCTCACTTTCTCACAAAATGTGAAAAATAAGAACAAACACACAAGCACCCCACAACCTCCCCCAGCAACCCAGCCCCCCC